ATCTCAACAAAGAAGAACAAATAAATTAATTAGCAACCCGTACAAACATATTCACAACACATGAGACACTGTAAATTTGTTAAAAATATGGTCTAATAGGTTTTTTCCCTCCGATTCGAACACATGGACTATCTATAATAAGACCCTTGCCCTCCACAGACTAGAACTGCAGCAACGAAGAAGACATAACTGGAAGCACATTTACAGGAACTAATCCGTTCCAAAGCCTCCAATGTACTGCTCGATAACTCCTCTGTACCCACAATCAAGGCAATTCCCTCCCCTTCTCTCTAGCTCAAAGCCGCAACGTATTGGATGCCGAGATAACCCTTGGCAGGTCGGGAACCTTAAGGTGAAGCACACAGAACGTTGTTATTAAAGATTGGCAGCAACCCTATGGAAACCCTCGCCTTCTTGCTTATGCTGCTAACCCCTTATAATGAAAATTACAGCCCTAAGCTTTACCGTAAGCGCTCTAAAAGCCGGGAACTACAACCCGCCAGCCCCGGTTTTCTAAGAAATTCCTCTTAACAAGCTTTTCGAGCCTTCTCATGCTAGTCGTCTCAGCCAATCCGTCAGCTGCCATCGATACAACAGCATTCAGAGCCTGTGTCGCCGACAGTGCATTTCCCATTCCAACAGGAACCGAAGGTGCGGCATCAGCTGCAGCTCCAAACTTCTGCCTTCAAAAAGATGTAATTTTATAGGAAAATCTGTACAAGTTGAACAAAAATAGGGCCAACTAGTGAACAGCCTACCTGTACGCTTGTAAGATCGCTGTTTGCTCCACTTTCTTCACACCACGCATATCCAGAACCTTGAAAGAGATTTTTATATTCTTTATACGATACCCCTTCGCAATATTGAGTCAGTGAATAGATTGCTGTTTCCTTAAGAAAGCATGGCTTCAAGGGTTCGCATTTTCGCAAAAAAGGGAGAATTTCAACCCCAAATCGAACAGAAGAATACAGTTAATGTGAAGATCGGAAGTCAAACCGAACCTTTTGCAATTCTGAAGTATTCGAGTCAGGCAGCAATGTTGAATAGTGTTCTACGTAATCCTCAGGCGTATCCATATTCGACATCACCACCTTCAACCAACACTTTGCAAGTTCATCCCAAAAGACGAATTCAAGATAAATCGGTATTGAGTTCACCTTCAAGATCATTTCTGCCTTATTTAACGCAGCGCTCACTCCTCCAACATACGCTGTTGGTGGCTTCGCAGCCACTGCACTGTCAATCGAAGGCATTTGAAGGAGGAATGACTTCAGAGAGTGAGTGTCAAGAAGTAACTGCTCGGCTCCTGAATATGGAAGTACCTGGGTTGCAACGATTTACTACTGATTCACTTAACAGCACCCTTACTCTCCGATCAAAGGTATTAGCTTTAATATGAACACAAAAACACTAGAGCTGGTCTTGAAAGCTCTACGGTAGATCATAAACTCCCTAAAGGAAGAAGGAAGACTCGAGTTATACTTACCGTGAGTGCTAATCGGTTTACATCTGAACAGTGCTCCGACAAATTTGTGAGACAACTGCGTGGCCAACTTCAGGCATAGATGAGCAAAATACTTCCTTCTGTCAGATAGCAAATCACGAAGTCGAGGTATAGCAGCGCGAAGGTGCGACGATCGAATAGCACCCACAAATGGAGACTCATCGCCAACGCCATCTACTGCGGACCACCTAATAGAAGATGTGGATTAAGGAAAAATAATCCATTTGAAGAAAGGAACATGCAAAGGCATACGTAATCTTGGAGATGGCCTGGAGTGCTGCATCACAGGTGCCCTCAAGATCTTGAACCAGAACAGCAAGTGCCTGGTTGGTGATTCCATAGAAGGTCTCCATCTCTGATCAAGTCACGTAACCCATATAAAAAGCATGATGTAGCTTCATAACCAACACTTTTGTTTGCATATCGCTCCCTCTAAACTGTATTGATCATGTTATATCGACATTGATCTCCCGTATGGCCACTGGCAATCCGAAATAAAACTTAAATAAAGACTAACATTGTGTGGAAAGCCTACCCACTAGTCGTGAGACAGTCTTTCATCCCCGCTGCAACTGCAAAGTCGTCTCGGCACACCAATCCGCTGTGGCCAGTATACAGCAAGTGAGAAACTGTTGATCAGCACTCAATCTGTAACCAAAAATAAATCAGAAATCTTTTAGCAGATGAACCAACAGTGTTTTCAAAGTTCAGGTCTAACTCTCAACACTGTGGTATCCTCACGAATAAGATTGAACAGATGACGCTCCATGTTGCTGGCCATGGGCGGTGGGCAAAAATGCAGTCAGACAACCGTGCGCGTAATTACGCAGACAAACCCGCACGACACCAACCACATCCCTAAAACAAGGGCTAGACCAAATGAGTGACACAAAAATTCTGATGTTTAGAGATTGCAGTAGACCCCGCCACGCACACTCACCTATGTATCAGTAAGTTCTACGACAAATCAAGATTAATATAGCCAATGAAAACAGTCTTTCTTCCTTCGATAACCCGAATGGCTGCACGCACCCAGGTCATCCAGCGAACACACCAAACGTGTGGGATTCAATAACCTTCTGGTATCACTACGACCTTATATGGAAAGGGCGTACTTAGCGCATTCCAAAAACGATTGATCAACGCCAAAAACTAACAGGTCACCTATCAAAAAGTTCATAGACTAAAAAAAATGCTGAATGGACAAAATAAGATGTTGAGAGAAAAAGATCAAACCCACTTCAACAACGCATCCGGCTCACTGCTAAGTTTACTGCACTCAGTGATCACCTTCTTGAGCAGAAGGAACATATCAGCCGACGACGAAAAGGGCACAGCGTGGGTCGAGCACTCCCGTGACGGAACCTCTGCAGACGAACCAGACCTACAACAACGCCCATCACGTCGTCGAAACATTTGATTAGTTAACCGGTGAGAGGGCGGGAAGATCTACCACGCGGTAGCAAAGTAACCATGTATGAGCAATGAAAAACTGACTGACCTAATCTTATTCGCGCAATCCTCCAAAAATTGATTGAGGGTTTTCTCCTTGTGCGCTTATGAAGACGTCAAGGAACGAATCAAAAACACTCCAAATCGCCTGAAAAGAGCTCCACTTGATCGCGAAGAAGAAGTGACTCAGAAGAACTCACCTTATCAAAGTTGAAGTCAGGTTTCGATGGAAATCTCTTGATGAGCAGTGCTTCAAACATTCTAGTATGCTGAATAGCGTGACCAAGCAAACGAAAGTCCAAATCAGGGCGCCGTCGCGTCATCATGCGATACAGTACATCTCTGAAATCACCGTTCGTTGGTCTAATTCACGCAAAAATTCAAGCATGGGGAAAAGGAAAAAAGAAAGCTCAAAATAGAAGAAACGACAAAATCTGGGTGTCTTGTTCGAAAATAAGGAAATGAAGAAAGTGAGGTTATGCAGCAAGAAAAAAAAGTACAAGACAAATACGAGCAAATGTGAAAAGAGACGTAGGCGAGCAAAAAAGGCAAAGCGGAAGGCAACGAAAAAAGAATGAATTACTGTTCCTGTTTCGGGAACAGAAAGAAGAATCTGATGTGTTAGCAGAATTGACAACAGTCCAACAAAGGCAACCCACCTTGTCACATTGCAAAACTCTTTCGTCATTAATCGTCCCATATCCCAGTCCGGTGGAAA